CAGAAAATAAAATACAAGCTGAATAGTCAAGACCCTGTTGATGATCCAAACTCTGTCAAGGACCTTCGAATACTCATCTCTAATGATCTAAGTGCTAGAGCCTATTGTAACTACATCGCCAAAAAGGCATTAAGAGTTGTTAACCTAATCCTGCGTAGTTTTTTCTGTGGTAATATCACACTAACTAGAGCATACAAAACATTTGCTAGACCAATACTTGAATTTAGCTCATCAGTCTGGAACCTACATTACGTATCTGATATTAACACAGTTGAAAGTCCAGAAATATTTCACAAGAAGAGTTCTCCACTCCTCTACTCATTGCAGAATACCTTATACCACCAGACTTGAAATTCTAGACCTAGAAAACCTAGAACTACGCCGCCTTCAGTCCGATCTAAGTATAGTCCATAAAATTATATATTGCAATGTCCTACCTGTCAATGAATACTTCAGCTTCAACCATAACAATACAAGAGCACACAACTGTGGGGAATTGTGTGGGTGAAAATCATGGCTGATAAGATTTTTTTGGGGTGGGGGAGGGCTTCTGGATCTTGATAGGAAGGGCAGGAGAACCAGTATGAATCCTCCTAGCCCTGGAATTCTTCTGTTTCTCTTCGCTGGGGAAGTTGAGTTGTGGGGATAGAAACACAAACTGAAGCATTGCTTTCCCTGCCCGATGACAGGTTGCGGGAGTTGTAGGTGGTACTTACAGAAAGGGGGTGGGGGTGGGTGGGAAGTACTGAGCAGCATTAAAAAAAAAGACTACTGAAACAAATCATTGAGGTGAATAAAAGAGGATGTGGGGCGTAGCCGAGCCCAAGGAAATTGTCCTTCTCCCCATAACTGAAAAAAAAAGCCTTTCTCTACAACTTTGCTTACTCCTTGTATTTTATTTCTCCACTTGTGGTCTGATAGCTGGAATACAACTGGTTATCCAAATTTAAGTCATGGTAAGAAGGCTGCAGGGTGAGGGAGAAGGTGGGCATTAGATTATTTTGGAGCAAGCTCTTTCAGGTGCTGTGCCACAGTTTACATCATAATAGGAGGAAGTGGAAAAAAACACAAGCAAAATGTGTCAGAATTTCCCAGCTGGTTGTATTGAGAGTTTTCCTTCTCATCTCTCTAGGCTTGCTCTGATTACTCTAGGTAGGAATGATTTAGGACCAAGCTATACGTTGCTCTTCTCTTAGGATTTGGAATTTTCTGTTCATTAGCCCTGTCCTTCAATCCAAATGGTGGGAGTAAATAGCCAACTGTCCATGTAGTAGGTTTAAAAAAGGACTTTGTAACCTTTGCAGCTATAATTGGGGTATCATTCAGTCATTCCGGTTTACCTCCAGAAACTGAGGAACAAAATAAGAAATGGCAGCATAAATTTTAATATAGGAATATGAAATTATATCCGGATTCAGCTGATAAGTTGTCAACGTATGATTCCCAACTCAGAGGTATTACAGACAGACTCTGTCCCCTTTCAACATTGGGACCCTCTGTGCAATGTATTTGCTTCATTAATTATTTTATATACACACATCTCTGTAGATATCTAAAACAACAGATACAAACTCAAACTGAACCGCACCAAACTTGATTCTGATATGCAAACCTGACTCTGTGGTTTCTTCTCCAAACCCCAAAAACTTTAACCTTAGACTGTCTACTATTAGCCTCACCCCTTTCCTAAGAGGTCTGTAGGGGGCATGCATAAGCGCACCAGCATGCCTACCGTCCCTGTCCTATTGTTTCATTTTTCTTTTATGTATCTATTTCATGTATTCATAACTATGTTTATACTTATACCTGTTATCTTATAATCGCTTGACAAAATATAAACAAACAAATAAATAAAAGTCTAGAGATGCTGGCATGGTAAAACTGGTGAGGGGATATTTATTCCTATTCTGTGGTCTTGTCTATGATTATCTCATTTTGGTTGGTATCTATAGGAATGTTCATATGGCCATATAAAGATGAATACAGCTTAAATACCTATTTTGCTCAAATCTCAAATATAGTATGAGAATTGCATTTGCATTTTTTACACATTCCAAAACTTGCCATTTTTCACTTTATGTTGTCTTGGCAACTTTAAGACCTGTGGAAACTCCCAGAATTCCCAGCCAGCTGGTTGGGGAAAGCTGGGATTTGAAGTTACCAAAGTTGAACACCTCTGAGATAAATGCTTTCTGTTCATGAACTTGCTTTTTATCATTGTAATGGACAGACTATCATTACTTTTGGGTTTAAAATTTATGGGTTTTCTTCTATGCAAATTAGAATATTCTTGCTTCATTTTGCTCTTGAGGGCTTTTTAATATTAGAGAAAAATTATAGAGACAGAAGGAAGACAAGGAGGCTCAGTACAGAACAATAATAATTTATCTACAGCACCCTGTTTTAACTTGGCAATTTAAGAATACAATTCCCAGAATATTCCAGTCAACATATTGGCTGGGAAACTCTGGGACTGAAAATCCACACATCTTTAAATTGTTGGGATTGACAAACAGACCAATCGTACTGCAAATATTATCAGGGATAAAAATTGCGCATTAGACTGAAATACATTTGAAGACAGCCGATTATCGACAACAGAAAAAATGAGTTTCTTAGAGTTTGCAGCAGACACCATGCTGATGAAGCCCTTCTCTTTGAGCACCATCGCGGCTCCTCCCTTTCCGCGAAATCTCCAGGCAGCGAAGGAAAACGGCGTGGTCCCATTTAGCGTTGGTCATACCGCTCCGTGTTGAGAGACACGTGTTCTCCTCGTTGTTGTTTCGGGTCGTTTGGGTGTTTGGTCTTAATAAAAGTATTCCATTTAAAAAAAAACACGCACAGAGCTTTTCCTTTTTAAATTCAGGGCTCGTCCCCTACTGAAAGGGAAGAGGTTACAGGCAGGTTAGAGACACAGGTCTCTCCTGCCAACTGGCGCCCGTCACTCTCGGTGTTCCCGGCTTCCCCCTGGGCTCTCCTGCGCGGCATTCTCGGCGCTGGCGGCGAAGGAGAGGATTGCCAACCCAACGCCGGGCGAAACTCCTGCCTTCCCCGCCCCTCGCAGGCTCAAAGGGCACCGGCGCGAAAGGGGCGAGGCTCCACCTCCGCCGCCTTCTCCTTTTTCAGACTGCGGTGAAACTCCGGTGAAACTCCCGGGCGCTGACAAGGGAGAAGGTGGAAGTTCTCCTGGGTCGCTGCCGCTGCCAGATCCAGTAGGGAGCCCTGCCGCGGATATGGGGCGCCTCTGCCAGGCTTGGCTGGGGGTCCTGCTCTTGGGAGGAACTCTGGCCGTCGCCTCTGCTACAGGTGAGAAGCGAGAGGTGCTCTCGGAAAACTTTTCGCCCTCTCGCGTCTTCTTTTCCATCGGAGCCGGGGATCCCCGCCTTTCGGGACCGGTGGGGAGACGGGCTGTTCTGGGGGACATGCTATGCATGTGTCCCCCAAGGGGCTACCGGACGGGGGGGGGTGGGGGGGGGGGTCCTTGGCCTCTCAACAAAATGGCTGCCGTGGCGATAGGACCAAGGATAAAAACCTGTTTTATCAGAATGGCTACCTGCTCTTTCCCTTCTGCCCCTACTCCGCATCCGCACGACTCTTTTGCTGATCCTGACCCTTTGGGGATCATCAGGACGACAGCTTAGCGAAGATTCCACCCCCCTTGATTTTCTTTTGTGAGAAAGCTTAGGGGTCTTTCTTGGGGAAAATAAGAGGCTGGATCTGGTGGTGGTCTGCAGCTTCGTTCCCCATTTCCTTTTTCAAAAAGGAAAAATGTCAGATAGGACAGGAAACCTCCTATCTGGCACAGAGGGAGATTTTTTTAGGTGTGCGGCTGTCCTCTGGGCACCCCATTGGGAATTTACCTTGACAGTCTAGCCTAGGTTATAGAAAATGTTCTTGTGTAATCAAAACAGGAGTAACTTCATTGGGACTTAACTCCCCAGTGAATGTGTGCATTGAGTTGCTGTAGTGATGTTATCTATTCACTGAACCTTCTTTGTTATTATGTTTGATAAATTGAAGCTCAACCTGGTGACACAGCGTAGTAGTTCCTAACAGAAACAGGTTCTTCAGAGGAGAAGCAAAAGTTTGTTTTTTAACTTCTTTGAAGCTAAGATCTCTAGTTACAAAGACGAAGTTCAGGAAACTATTTTCTGCCTTGACTGCTTGAGAAGTCTCAGCTTAGCGCTTGAAAAGCTGACTTGTAGCAAACTAATTAATACCTCTTGTACTTTGATTGTTAGTGAAAAAAATCTAAAGAGTTTATTTCAAAAACCCACTACTTTTTTTTCTTACAAGTTAAGGTTGAACTTTGTTGTTTTCTTGTTGCCTATATATGGAACTAAGGGCAGAAGTACCTGTTTTCCAGTAATTGGTTGATGTGAATACATCTTCAGAATAGCATAAAAACTCATTCTTTTAAAGCTGTCTTAAAATGATAACATTAGATTGGAAATATAAAAATTAGCCTTTCATAAAGGAGCATCACAGTATTCTTCCTTGAATGAGCTTATTACACACACAGAGAGAGAGAGAGAGAGAGAAAGAGAGAGTACTCTGTTCACTTTAATTCATTTTGATTGCTTAGAAATTTTAACCTGGATTATAAAGAGAATGTTAGATTCTAAGAAAAGTGATAGATGAACTTACTGTATGTACAATCCAGTAATATGAATGACTGCATCAACATGAACAAGTGGTATATGATGCTAAAGCAAGAAGTCCTTCCTATCTTGGTTTATGATATAATTTTGCAGTTTGATGAGTTGGGCAGTGGTGCATTCTTTTGGAGTTGGAAGAAAAAGGAGAATGTATCTGCAGTTAAACTGACCTCCATATTTTGTGGGAGTTGACAGAGCAAATTCATATGTAATAACAATTAATGCAGTGTTTACAGTTTAATACTTAGTATTACCTTCATTAACTTGCATTTATATGAAATGCTGAGAAAGGATGAAGAGTTGGGATATTAAGGTATTATTCTATAGAGCCAAATAACTTGGAATGTATGTGGTGACCTTAAATTACTCAACATGAGAAGAACCTAAAATGCCCTTTACTTAGATGAACAAGCGGTGGCTTTGTCTAATAAGGATTCCCTCTCTGCTTGGGACAGAGTACATACTTTCTATATAAGGGAAGTGGTTCCTGTTTTTCCACCCAAGATACTTTCAAGGGTGTACTGTACAGAAGCATGATCTTTTCCAGTGAACACTGAACTGAGTTTACATAAATTAATGGATGAACATTATCCAGTTAATAATAATGTCCTCCCACACAACACCATGAATAGAATACAAAATGCACAGTCAGATAAGTTAGTCCTGAGTATGCTAGAATAAAACAAGCTGGTGATATTGAGTTCTTGGGAACTGCAGACAAGAATATTGTGCCTGTTTCTCAATTTCTTGCACAAGGATAGGTGAAGTTACATGTTGTGAATCAATACATGATTCTCAATGTAATGTTGATGCTACAATACCAGTTGACAGATTTATTGTGTTTTATTAATCTAAGTGAAATGTTAATATATATTGCTAGTCCATGTATAATATGACATATGTTAAATAAATAAACCAATTGAAGAGAAGTGTGATGGGGCATTTCTAAGAAAAGAAAAATATTATTTCCCTTTACTTACTTTCTAGACCCTTAAGATAAAAATAAACTTAACAGGGTTGGAAGTAAAACCAGTTGTAAATTATTAATATGCTTATGTTATTTAGTGAGCAAAAATGAGTGTTTAGAGGGTGAGTTATATATATATATACCCACGTGAGTTTCTTGAGGAACTTATTTGAAAAAAAAATATGAAAAATTAAAAAGATGGGAGGCTGCATATATTTTGGCTAGCTGGCCAGCTCGCACTAGCTGGACAAAGTGGGAATTTGGTATATGCATTTGTTCTAAAAATGTGTAGCTCTGTCCATAATAGCCTACAAATTCAAACTGATCCATCTGAAATGAAACTCTGCAATTTAGACTGCAGGAATTGCATCTCTTTCCCTTTATAGAAAGCAAGGATGTTGGGGTCAATCCTAGACAAGAACTTTTCTCATTCATATACAACATCTACCTTATTTTGTTGTCCCCCAGATGTTTTGATTAAAGCCAATTGAAAATTTCCTTGCTTGCATTAAATCCTCTACAGTGGCAACAAATGTTATTTCTTAAAATAGGAAATTGCCTTTCCAAATTTGCTATTCAGGCCAGACTAGATATGATTTAATCTATAAAATTGGAATTAGATGCTAACATTAAAAAGCAAGAAAAGTTGCAGAGCTGATCATTCCTTTCTGTCTCTCCCCTTTTGGCTCCATTCAGAATGCTGAAATGTAATTTGCAGCAGGTTATATATGTTCCTGGAGCAGGCAGGGGCAATGTTTGGAAGTTAGAGTACAGGGAAAAATAGGTATGTTAAGGTATACATTTAAGGACCTTCTTCCATTCCTTAAACTTCCCAATCCTTCCTATTCTAGATTCATCTTTCTCCTTTTTTAGAGTTTTACAGCACCTATTTTGCCTCGTAAAATCTGTCCAAAGGTGTGACTTTTATGACCTCGATTAGCTACATCCCTACACCTGAAGAGGACTGTGTCTCCCCTCTCCCAACTTTAAGAAAAACACTTTAAAACGTGACAAGAATATTTTGCTATTACCAGTAATTGTCAACTTACAACCACAATTGGGACTGGAATTTGGGTTGCTGAGCGAAGTGCTTGTTAAGCAAAACGCATGACTGCTTCTCTCAGTGACCACAACCCTGGCATTCAAGGGTTGTAATTGCTGAGCAGTCTTATGGGATCAGATGGAGTCCCAGTTAAGGACCATGAGGCCTCAGAGGGTGGGGTAAGAACTGGGAGGCTCCACTCAGGAATTGAAAATCCTCCTTCCTCAAATCCAAGCAGGATTTTCAGACCCCCGAGGGAAGAGACACTTATGCACAGCCTGTGTCAGGTCTTACCTTGCCTCTCTGCTTGGATTTCGAGTCCCTCCCATCCGTGGAAACTGGCTGAAAGAGCTGTCTGCTGAAGGCTTTCAGTGGCCTTCTGTGCATGAAAGGGAGTTGAACTCTTTTGGCTGGGTTCAGGAATAAAGCTGAAATCTTCATCAGCTCCCATTCTGCACCCCGCTAAAGGACTTCAAGTCTCCTTTGGAAGCGAATTCCTTTAGTGGAGTGCAGGAACAAAGCTTCAGGATTTGAGTCCATTTTGTACCTTTCTGAAGAAGTTCAGCTCCCCTCAGTGGACAACTCTTTCAGCCAGTCCACAAAGATGAAAGGGAATCTTTTCAGTAGCCAGCAGCAGTTTGCAACCTTCCCTGCCATCTTCCCCACTGACTTCTTGGGGAAGGTGGCAGAAAAGAATCTAAATGTAGGGTGATTGGTCATAAGTATGATGTTTCTGATGCTGTCATAATTCCAGACTGTTGTTGAGGACTACCTGCAGAGTTTTTCTCCTTAGTCTTCCTCCTGGAGTCAAGTTAGCCTTTGTAGTCTCCTCAATTCAACAGCATTTTTACCCAAAGCATATGAATTATGGTACCAATTATGTATTTATAACTTGTTACTTCATTATATAGGCTGTGTGGGGGATTGTTAATGGCCAAGTAGCTTAACATGTTTGCTTTATTTCTTTTTTAGTGAGAAACAAAACTGGTGTTTCAGTAGGAGGAAGAAGCTTAGTTGGTCTTAAAACCAATTCAACAAATAAAGACACATACAATATAGATGACTCTGCAACCAAAATCCTCACAGGAAAACTGACTACAATTTTCCTCCCAATGGTCTACATTATAGTCTTCATCATTGGCTTGCCAAGCAATGCCTTGGCTCTGTGGGTTTTCTTCTTCAGAACAAAGAAGAAGCATCCTGCGGTGATCTATATGGCTAATTTGGCTCTGGCAGATCTCCTTTTCGTAATCTGGTTCCCTCTGAAAATTGCGTACCATATTAATGGCAACAACTGGATCTATGGGGAAGTCCTGTGCAAAATACTTGTTGGGTTCTTTTATGGAAACATGTACTGCTCCATTCTTTTTATGACATGCCTCAGCGTGCAAAGGTATTGGGTAATTGCAAACCCCATACTGCACTCAAGAAAGAAGTCAGAAATTGCTATAAAAGTTTCAGCTGCAATATGGATCCTGCTGCTGCTTGGCACAATGCCTCTATATCTTATTAATCAAACTGTTTATATTGCTAACCTTAACATCACTACATGTCACGATGTCTTACCGCAGTCTGTGTTGGCCCATGACATGTTTAACTACTTCCTTTCCCTGGCTATTGGAGTCTTCTTATTCCCAGCTCTTCTCACAACTGGGGCTTACATTCTCATGATAAAGACTCTTAATGCTTCCATTACAGATGTAACGATTGGGAAGAAAAGAAGAAGAGCCATCAAGCTCATCATTACTGTACTTTCTACATACTTGATCTGTTTCTTGCCGAGCAATATTCTGCTGGTGGTGCATTATGCCCAGATCAAAAACAGTAACATATATGCATTTTATATTACAGCCCTTTGCCTTTCTACTCTAAACAGCTGCATCGATCCATTTATCTACTACTTCATTTCAAAAGACTTCAGGGATAATCTAAAAAATGCTCTCCTATGTCGAAGTGTGCGCACCACCAAGAGGATGCAAATCTCTCTCTCTTCAAACAGATACCCAAGAAAATCCCCCTCTTATTCCTCTAGCTCAAACACAACTAAGTCAACTTATTAAATTTGTGTGTACGACACGCAGGTATGTCTGGGTTTCCATGGACAGAACATGAAACCAAACTCTAGTGACATTTAAACAAAGACCTCCTTTCCATACAAAATTATATGAACAAGCATGTTCTTTACAAAGGGAAAAATCAAAGTGGCACCCCTCATATGGACAATATTTGAGTTTGGATTTGTTTTTACAAATGATTAGCAGGTGTGCAAATAAGTTTTTCCATGTTGATGTTAATCAAACAAGCATCTTGCACTCAGGCGCAGGTGATGATCCTAACTAACATGAACTAGTTTGAGATTTTAGACAACTTCTGTTCTATAAGAACAGGGGGAACTGTAGAAGAACATACATGAGTAATTGTATGTATTTGCCAAACCTGTCTTTTCCTAATCCAGGATCTGTGAAAGCCCTGGAACACTGTATTATTGATATCCCAGTGACTGATCTTTGCACTAATATACTTAATACTTTTATTTTAACTATGCTGTGAATATGCAATGTTTCCAATAATATAGCATGTAAATTGTAGGTTTACTGCAATATTTTAAATGTTTTTAATTAAATAAAGGAACACTTTTATATACTTATTTGAGTTTGTTTGGATTGATAAGAAATGTGTGAAATTTGCTTTCACTTTAACCAAACTTCTTTCTTCATGTGAAAGTTCCATTTTCTTCTCACTGGCTCCAAATGAAATAAAGATTTAAGAACCACATTTCCAAAGCAGTACATGGATCAATAGAAGAATTGGTTGGTTTCATTTTCTCCGCTGTAAGATCCCCACCAGGGCCGTAAGTGTGTCTAGCCAGGCTTCCTGCCCACCTAATTGTATTTTATTAAATTTAATTCCTGTTGGGGAAAAAAATAGAAGCTGGCTCACTCCAAAGCACCAGCATTTAGCACCATCTTATCTGTTTTCTTATAATATTCCTATCAGCTTTCTGAGGAAACAGTGGTTGAGTGACGTACTGCTTTTTAGAAATGTAGTCACCTGTCCACGCACATGCAAATCCACAATGGAAAACCAGTGAGAAGCAGCAGCTGGCTGGGAGAAACATCTTTCCAAAACCGATTTCCGTGAACTTAAGGCGTGCCCTCGTAGAGGAGATATTTTATAGGAGCATCACTAACACACTCGCAACATTTTAAATGTTTTCATTAAGACCCCAATGGTTGCCTATATTCTGCCCCTGGCCCCCACCTGTCTTGTTTTATAGCCCCTTTTGTAGTAAAAGTGATCTGTCATTTATTGTAATTGCTCATACCAGCATTTTAACTTAGATTGCAGCTTGCTTGAAATCTTTATCTCTTTTGCTAATTAAAAAGTAAACACTTTTTTCATCTCTAACAATGTAGACTGCTCCTGAACTGGGCATGTCAGGATGCAGGTATCAAAACAGTGATAAATGGTTTTTCTCAGTAATTCTGTTGTGGGTTAAGGAAATATTTTAAAGATCAAATCCACGTCTCTATTTTATCTGGTCTTACAAATATGTTTGAAAATAGCATTAGTAAACTAATGTAGGCAAGTCAATGTTTGTAAAACTTTTAAAAATCTTAGTAGAAGCACCAGCTTGAACTTCTCATTACTCAAGAAACCCCCTTTTAAGTTGACTATTAAGTACTTAAGAACTTCCTTTTTTTACTAAATTGTGTGTCCTAATTTTTTCCCCCAAAGAAGAGTGCTTTCGGCAAAGCAAAGTAGAGCATAATTAAGAATTCTAAGTTTGTTTTGAAAAAAATGAAGGATGGTTATAAAAATGCAAAACATTTTGAGTGTTTCTGAGCTCAAAACAAAACGTCTTAGGGATTTCCTTCATAGTGTTTTCCCCCAGCAAGGTTTACTTTTTTAAAAAAGTAACCAATTGTTGATCCAATGAATCAAGAATTGGACTGAGAAAGAATGAGTAACCCAAAATCACCCACCAGCAGCACTAGAACTCCCAATCTCCTGGTTTCTAGCCTAGTGCCTTAACCATTAAAACAAACTGGCTCTCAGTAGTTAAAACAATACCAAAGGTAATAAAACTATAAATTCTTAACTATATTAACTCACATTCAGAGGCAACATCACATAAGCAATGAGAGGTCACAGAGCCTTGGGAATGGTTATCGTATCTTTGGTGGACTAGCACAAAGTACTTCATTTTAAAACATGAGTTATTTTTTGGTCTTCAGATATTTCTCTTCCCACTTGCAAAACAAAGTCTTGGAAGTTATGCATTCAGTGTAGCTAGGCTGCTATAGTCTACAATCCCTAAATTTTCTTCAGAAGATTTTTTAAAATGTAATTTCCAAACAGTGTGCCTTAAAACCTAAAGTTTTCAATAACTAAAAAAACTTCCTTTCAAAAAGTAATCATTTTCTGCTTTGTTGGCTGCGGCTTTTCTCTTTTTAAGTATCTGCTAAGTTTTCTATGACAGGCCTCCTGTACCTTGTCAAGATACTGAGACTATTTAACAGGAGCCAGTTGGCTGCATTTTTCTGTGATTCACTACTCCAGGAAACTGCCTTTCAAATGAGTCATGCTCAAAAATATGAGTCATGTTCAGAAATGTAGGAAGGAGTGGGTTTTGTGAATTATCCCCCCCCCCCCATTTTACATTCTAAAAGAAAAGTACCTAAATTCCTGGATATAATTTGTTTTAGAAATGTAGAAACATTTTACATATAAAAATGTGTGCAAAACAACTGCTACTGTTGGTATTCACCAGATGGCTTAGATTTCAACTGCCATTAACTTCCCAAAGGTCAAGTAATTTGGGAAATTATAAATCTTAAAGTCCAAAGAGAGATGGATAAGATTAGTTTCAAAACTCAGGGTTGAACATGTTAAAAATATGAGGTCAAACAAAGACTTGGTGACATTGTTCAGTCATCATGCTGAAACATGATTTACTAAATAAGCTACCATTTGCTGGGTTTGCAGAGTATGCTAAACCAGAAACCATGGTTTATAAACAAGCTCCTGTATTAATATTATTGGACAAACCATGCCAATTCTTAAAATATTATTATGAAAATGCCCCAAATTTCACAACTCAGCAAAGTTTTAGAATCTGAGCTTCTGTAGATTGTCGGAGCTCAGTTGTTTCATTTTAAAATTAAAATCGTTGCAAAATGTATTGCAATTTGAGGGACTGAGCAATTTATCTGGTATTTCTTAAAGACCCTGGTCAAAATTCCTACTGATAATATCCCCATGCATATCTATGCTTACTCATTCCTGGATACTTAGTCTCCTGTCCTCCAGTCTCAGATCCCCTTCTTCCTTTCATTTGTTCTCACCTTTGCTTTCTCATCTTCTGATAACATTGGAACGAGACAGGCATGCTACAAAGTAAAGTCATCCCAACAAGGAAGGAAACCTGTTCCCAACTCACTGTAAACTGGCCTTGTTTTCCTTTGCTTTGTCCCAATACTGAGTGACTGAATCATGAATCAGAAAGCACAGAGCATGGTAATCTCTTCATTAAAAAAGACCAGAAGAATAGAATAGAATTATTTATTGGCCAAGTATGATTGGACATACAAGGAATTTGTCTTGGTACAAATGCTCTCAGTATACATAAAAGAAAAGATACATTCGTCAAGAGTCAAGAATCATCAGGTACAACACTTAATAATAGTTATAGGATACAATAAGCAATCAAATCATACTAGGAAACAGTCAATATAAATCGTAAGGATACAAGCAACAAAGCTACAGTCATACAGTCACAAGTGGGAGGGGATGGGTGATAAGGAGTGATGAGAAGGTTAATAGTAATAGTAGTGCAGACTTTGTAAATAGTTGGACTATGCGCCAGTATATCTGTTATCTTCTCTACAGAGGTACAGAAAGTTGTGTGTGTAGGGAACTTAATGCAGAGCAACTGGAAGTGTTTTTTTACTGTTTGTAATATGCTACCATTGATTTGCAGCTTGCACTTTCCTATTGATGGGGACATTCCATAGTAATTGCAGAGAAATCTTTCCATAAGAGTCTGGTCTGGTCTCTATTGATTAAAAACAAGACTTATGTGCCATGGAACTTGGGAGGAGCGATCTCCAAGTTAGATCCACTGGATCTGCACCTGGTAAGTCCAATTCTAAGATGTTTTAAATAATAACTACAAAGGTAAAGGTAAAAGTTTTCCCATTCCAGTCATGTCTGATTCTAGGGGGCAGTGCTCATCTCTGTTTTTAAGACGAGGAAGCCAGCATTGTCCAAAGACACTTCAATGGTCATGTAGCCACCAAGGCACACAGAACGCTGTTGCGTTCCCACCAAAGTGGCACCTATTTATCTACTTGCATTTACATGCTATTGAACTGCTAGGTGGGCAGGATCTGGGGCAAGTAATGGGACCTCAGCCCATCACGCAATGCTCGGGTCTTGAACCTTTCCAGCTGACAAGCTCAGCTGACAAGCTCAGCATCTTTAATCACTGAGCCCTTGTGCAGCCTTTTCAGGAACCATAACCTGAAAAAAATAGTTCTTTACTTAAGTTGAATAAAAGTCAATACTACAAAGCAGTTTTTCACTAAAGGCCTTCTACAAGCTGAGAAGAAGTTTGGATTTCCTCCAAGAATATTCAGAAACAAAGCAAAATTGCTGAAATGGAATAAGATAATCTCACCAGACATGTTCATAAGCCTATGTTTGTGGCAACAATAAGAGGTTAGAGTATCTGATGCCAGTGTGTTGCTATGTTTTAATTGAGTTTCTGTTAAAAGCAACTCACCTCTTTGACACTGAGTCAGGTTTTGGCTGTTTGTTTTACTCACCAAATTTCAGTGTCTTTGATTAATGACACCTACAAGAAGGCTGTTGTGTATCGTAACCCCTTCTTGCTCCTCAAGCAGCTGTAATAGATATTAGGTAAGAAAAGCTAGCATTTGGGATGAACCAAAACTTAGAGTAAGCACATATTCTTTGAGAAGTAATAACAAAGATCTTAGCAAGTAATCAAGTTCATTAGAATTTTTCATCAGGCTGGAGACATAGTGATTAAAATGCTTTTAAGAGTAATAGGGAATGTAGTTGAGTGCACTCATATAATCAAAGAGATACATATTGCATAATAAAGTAGATGCAATAAATGAATATTGCTAGGAATTATGACATAGTTTGCTGTTCAGTAGCATTTTAAAATGGAATGGATGATTTGGTGTGCAAACTTAATTAGGCTTTTAGGCTGTGTTTCCATCACATTTTGCAAAAAGGGCAATCAGAAAAAACCCACAATTGTCCAATTTGATTTCTAGCTCTAATCAGAACAAATAGGTCACTCGCAATGCAGAGAGCAGATGCAAGGAAAACAAAGGAATCCTTTACATTCACAAATATGGTGATTAATTTTAGATGATGACACAACCTTCTTATCTTGGAACTCTAAGATGTATTAAACTGCTATAAGTCTTCAACAAGTTGGAGAAAACTAATCAAGACCAGCTGTACATATTTCTAACTGTTTTCATGCATATTTTTGTTTACTCCAGATCCTTCTGGCTCCTTTTTGCTCTGCTATATATTCCTGTCTAATACTGCATCTTCCCATTTTAAAAAATGACCAAAAAGGTAAGTGTGTTAA